AAAAAAAAAAGAAAGAGAGAGCGAGAAGAAAAGGATTTCACCAGTCCTGAGTCCAGCGTTGGTCCAGCCAGCCCAAAGATCCAGTTCCAGAGGGCATGCACTGAGAACTCGTCCTCCATTTGTTTGTAGCTCAGGGGTGTTAGTTGGTGGTCTTGACATGCGTAGTTCATGTTCCCAGGGTTCTCCAGAATTGGTCGGTGGGCTTGGGGTACCATTGGGGAGTTGCCTCTCTCTCCCTGCAGGCATGACTGCTTAAGAAAGAAGCACAGTCCCATCCTCCGTGGGGCCCCCTCCTCCAGGTGCATATGCTGTGCTGCTTCTCACGGTCGCTTAAGATAAGGAATTGCAGCTTTGGAGAAGCGCGGTCCCATCCTCTGTGGGGCCTTCTCCTCCAGCCACATTTTCCTGTTTTCACAGCTCCAGCACTTCTACAGAGGCCGTCTTCTCCACCAAAGTTCTTTAAAAAATGTTTGAGACATTAACTATAATTTGTCAGACCGTCACACTTAGGCAGTGCTGTTGTCCCTTTGGCATGGGTAAAGTGGGGAATACAACTGCATTGTGCATACGTTAGTCTAAACAAATTGTAACAGTTGGGGAGCGGGAAGGAAAGGTAGGGCAGCAAATTAAATCTCATGTTTTGAGTGAAGGTTTCTTTTTTCTGTTTTTCAATGTCAACGCAGACATCTTATTACTGAATTTTGACTGGGACCACAGTTGATGTTGATCAAAGTCTGCTGTGTGCTGATGAGTTTGGAATGACTTGCTTCCCCACCTGCTTTTGTACTTTAAAGAATATCATGATAACAAGGAATACTCCTTATGATGCAGGATTTATACAATATTGTGATGATGGTCTTGAAAGTGTGACCAAGCATTTCAAAGACATTTAAGCTAGGAGGAATGTGCTGATTAAGGCATCTGATGGGATAAATTCAAGGAAGCCCCCCGAGAGTGGGGTGGGGGAGAAAGATCCCAATTGCAATGCGTATTTGAAATACCAGTTGAGCTGTGATGAGAATAGAGCCAGGTGGGGAGGAGAAAAAAAACCAACTTATTTTGAACACAGAAGAAAAGGTAGTGCAGAGACTTACTGAGGAGCTCCCTTTCCCAAGTTACATTAAAGCCCTGTTCCAAGGTGATGCTGTGAAGTGGGTTGTATGTGGACTCACTCCTTTGACTTCCATGTTGTGGGCCCATGTGATAGGGGGTCCTGAAAGGAGTTTGGGGTTTAAAAGGTTCTTACTTGTCATACAGAGAAAATCTGAGAGAATCTAAGAACGGTGAGGTACATTGCTTCTCGAGGAGTATGTTACTCTCAGAAGTATCTTACTTCTTTAGAAGGAAGACTTCAGTCTTCCTTCTACAGGACTGTTTATTCTGGATGAGTTAAATTTTTGTTGAGAGAAAAGCAGATTGATAATTTCAGAGCAACTTGCAAAGAACCACCACTGTTCTGATGAAAGTCAGGTTTATGGCCACTTAAACAGGAGGAGTGGTATCCATCTCATAACCTACCTTGAATTGTTGCAAAGTTGGTGTGACTTTATACAGTTAATGGTAATTTAGAAATATGTTAAAATTATCTCTGGCTACAGCTGTCTGGGCTGCTTAGGTCTGCTGAGACAAGGTTGTTAGGTTGGCCTGGGAGAGCGTGGGTTAAGAATGCTTGTTGGGAATGTTCACACTGAGGCAAGGCACTGGGGAGTATAAAACCAGACCTTGGTGGGTGACTCTTTCTTGTGGTCTATCTGTTTTGCCCTTAGCTTTAAGGTAATAGTAGTGTTTATTATAGATTCAGCTTTTGGGAATGAAGAAGCAAAACCAAAAAAACCCTGCAAAAAAACAAAGCCAGAGGAATGCTTGAGATGAAAAGCTAAATTTGTCACTTAGAGGTTTGCATATTCAAATGAGCTATTCTCACTGCCACCTTGTATGCTGATCTGTGCTATAAGATATGCACAGTTAAATAAATAAATAACCTCTACTTAATTATCCCTGAAATCCTGAAAATTGATTGATGTATTTTATTACACATTGGCTTTTGAAACCTGCAGTTGCATCCTAGATTCCTATAAAAGCATCTAAACAAATTTCTAGTCTTCCATTTGCGTAAATCTAACAGTCTTGTGATATGTGTAAGGCAGGATGTTTAATTAACCCATTTGCAATTTACATTTTCTGTGTATAAAAAATTCTTATTTCATCTAATGGAAGAAGTCTTGCTCCTATAGTTCTTATTTACAAAACTAGTCATTATGTGTGTATAATAGCAGGATTGAATGTTCTCTTTGAAATACTTGTGCTTCATATGAAGCTTTAGCTTGACGGATCCTGCCTCATCTGTATCTCTGATACCTTATTTCTATTTTGCTCATCTGCCATAAAGTTTTTATGTAAAAGATAATTTAAAAAACTTTAATTTGTACATATTGTGGTTTAACCCCAGTGGGCAGCTGAGCCCCACACAGCTGCTCACTCACTCCTCTTTGGTGAGATGGGGGAGAGAATCAGAAGGGTAAAAGTGAAAAAATTCATGGGCTGAGATAAAGGCAGTTTAATAGGGAAAGCAAAAGCTGTGTGTGTAAGCAAAGCAAAACAACGGATTCATTCACCACATTCCATGGACAGGCAGGTGTTCAGCCACTTATTCAGGAAAGCAGGGCTCCATCACATGTAATGGTTGCTTGGGAAGACAGATGCTGTAACTCTGAATGTCCTCCCTTCTTCCCCCAGCTTTATATGCTGAGCATGACATCATATGGTCTGGAATATTCCTCTGGTCAGTTGGGGTCAGCTGTCCCGGCTGTGTCCCCTCCCAGCCTCTTGTGCCCCCCCCAGCCTCCTTGCTGGTGGGGTGGGGTGAGAAGCAGAAAAGGCCTTGACTCTGTGTGAATGCTGCTCAGCAATAGGTAAAACATACCTGTATTATCAACACTCTTTTGGTCACAGATCCAAAACATAGCCCCATACAGGCTACTGTGAAGAAAATTAACTCTAACCCAGCCAAAATGAGTACACAGCAAAAGCTGGAAAACTGCTGAACTTACCTTCAGTCCAAAGAAAGGGAGGGAGAGTGCTAGCTAAGAAGATGCTTTCGTTTTTGGAATAAAGAGGTGGGAAAGCAAGGCACTGTTAAACTTGTATTGAAAGTGCTTCTGGGTGTGAAAGTCTGCTCAAATGAATACTACCTTAAATTCTTAGCCACTTTTGTTGATTTTGCTTTGAAAGATTTACAGTAAAGCCAGTCCTCTGTCTAGGCAGGTGCTGGGGTGATGACTGCCTCTACAGATGGTAGACAACAACCTTGGAAAATAGAGAGAGGGAGGGAGACTAGTCAATTAGTAAAAAATGTGGGGAAATTTTGGTTTATAAAGGGATTTATTCTATTTTAAAATGTCAAATAGTATTTGGAAAACCAGAAAAAACAATGTATTATACTTAATTCCTTAGGTATTAAATATAGATTCCAGAACAAGTTTTTAGGTTTGTGGAAGCATGAATTTGGATTGCTCAACTGTAAAGATAGTGATGCCTTGTAGAACAAACAGTACTTTCTTTTTCTTTTTTTCGTCTGTAATTTGGAATCAGTAATTACGGAGGGAAGTATGTGAGATCCCAGAGCTCTTGGATTTTTATTCATTATTCTTGCTCTCTAGTATCTGTGAACTGAGGCAGACATTGTACAGTGAAAAATTTTATCATCTGAAGATACCTGGTCATGTAAAAATGCATATTGAGAGAATGTTGTAGCAGAATTTCCCATTAACTGTTTTTTGAACCACTGTATGTATAAACCACCCACATATATAAAGGTTCAGCTTTACCAGGACAAATTTTTAGAGCTGTAAGATTGCTGAATTATAGATTGGATTAAAGATTGGATCCAATCTTGTAAACATTGGGTTTGAGAGTAGCTCAGTCTTTTAGCTCAGCCCAGCATGTATGGGATTTAATACACATTTGGTTTCCTGCATTAAGCCTCCAATATTAGACTTACTTAATGAGTTTTCTAAAGTTACAGTAATTTGAGGTTAAAGAGGAAAAAAACTCTTGCAAGGGTGACTCACTCCAGAGGTAAACACTAAAAGTGAAATGGAGATCTCTATACCCTGTTTACTGTGTAAGGAAAATAATTTTCTGAAAGCCCGAAGACTCAAAAATAATTGTGTCCACTTGCTACTGCTAAATATAAAATTTCCTAATTAGCTTTTCTGTTCTTGGGAATGACATTATCTTTTAACACAAGTTTTATCTATGGAGGACTAACCCATGTGGCTAAGTGAAAATCATTACTACTGTATAAAGGCAGAATGTAAACCAATGCTGTGTAATTACTTTTAACTATCCATAAAATCAGGTGGGAAAAAAAGCAAGGCCATCATGACTAGATTTAATTTAACAACATAGTGATATGAATGTGCACCAGAAAAAAACTGAAGAACCTGCAGGAATGAAAATACTGAAAATCTGATCTAAATAAAAGGGGAATGGAGGTAAATAAGTCTGCTTTCCTTCATTGTCACTTCAGGGGCAGCTTTCTGGAAGTTTTGAACCATATATTAAAGAATGCAGTAAATTATATTGTATTATATGACAAGTTTGTGGGATGTGATAGTAGCATCATCAGAATTCCTCTGTAATGGCAGAACTGAATTGGAACAGTTTCTTCATTGATTTGATACGTGTTTCCAATACCATTTTCTATTACGTGTTTCCTTCAGTGTTCCTGTAGTGGAATTTCAGGTAAAAATAAATTTATTGGTTACTACTGAACATGCATAACAAGGTGCTTTTTAGATGGTAACTCAAAAAGAAATAAATTCTAAGTCCTATGAAATTACAGACTTTAGAATTTTCCTTTCTCTTTACTGTTAGCAGAAAAAATAATGCAAAAAGGTAGGAGTTTCTAATATGTTCTGACAAGTTCACTGTCTTCTGTAATATACTGTGTTTGCAACCTAGTTCCAAGTTTATTTCCTGTTTTTGTTTTATTTTAGGTCCCAAATCTGATCCCAGTTCTGATATTTAAATTGGGAAGACCTTTGGAGCCTGCACTTTACAGGGATATATTGTATACGTTGCCTACATTGGGTGTACACAAGGTGAGAATGAAAAATTATTAGTAAAGCAAAAAAACTATATCAATAAGAGGTCATTTATTTCTAAAAAAAATATTTGGACTAAGAAATGCGTAGCTTGCTTAACTGATTTGTAAGCTTCAGCATAACTTTCTAATATTTTGGATGGGATATGACATTTGTTTTGAAGAGTGAAACGTACATTATGCTTTATTGTCTGCACCGTATCATCATTATGTATGTATCATAAGATGCTGCTCTTGGACTTGTTATGCACTAAAGTTTTTCAGAAAATGACTTCCAGTTTCTTTCTGACATTGCAGTTGGATAGTTATCTCCTCATCCTTGCTTGTAAAATAATGATTTGTACGTTAGTCTTTGTTCTTGGACATAAAAAGTAACAGTGACATTTGATTAAAAAATTTCTTTCAGGTTTGTGTAGCTCAGATTCTACGTGCCATACACATACTGGGGAGCACGCCAAAGCTTAGAGCAGTCACTTTGCGGCTGATGACATCCTTATGGGAAAGACAGGTTAGAAAATTCTGGTAGTGTCACTAAGATAAGTGTAGTTGAAAAACTTCGTTAAATCTAACCAAGGAAGGAAATTAATTTTGGAACATTGCTTATATGCTTATAGTGTCTCATTAGCAGCAGTAAAAAGTAAATGGTGGAAGTGGTGGCTATATTGATTCTGTTTTAGTGAAAAATTTCAATAGTATGTCTTTCATGAAACCTGCTTTTCATTTCATCAGGTCTCAGACTGGAATTAGGAAAAAAAAAATTGTTTGAAGGATAGCTTTCTACTTTTCATAATGTGCAGTAAGAACAAGACCTCGATTATATGGCAATAATTCACTTCCCTGTTTATGAAGTAGCAACAGAGATCTGGTATGCAAAAGCCAGTTAGATCTCGATGCAGCATTAGATTCCAATAATGAAGAAAAGCGAAATACGGTATGCAATAAAAGTGGTATTTAGAAGTCATGTAGAAGTGCTAGCAATTGAAAATCCTGTCACTAACTTTTGAAGGTATGATGATAATTTTTAAATTAAATCTTTTCTAGGATCGAATTTACCCAGAATTGCAGAAGTTCTTGGCAATGTCTGATATGCCCTCTTTGTCTGTTGACAAAGATACTCAATGGGAAAAAATTATTGCTAAAGCTGCTTGTATAAGAGATATATGTAGGCAGAGGTAAGCGCAAGTGTTATCCATCTTATGTATTTGTAAGAGAAAGCAATTTTTTTTTTTTTTGTTTTTTTCCAGAAAAGCTGCATGATTATTTTTACCTACTCTGTTATATTAATTGTGGGTAATATTTTTCTAGTTGTATGAGATACTGACTCAGGCATTGCTAATCTCAGTAGCTAGTAAGTTTTGGGGTTTATACCATAGCTAATAGAAAGTACATATAAATAAAGTTAAAATTAAAATGTCTTTATCCTGAAATAAAACATGCATCCTATACTGATCCAGAGTAGAAGCTTAAAGCATACTACTTCCAAATTATAAAAAGAGAGTGATGAAACATAAGAACAAACACCTAATGATCTGTCTATCTTTTGATCTATTCAAAGAAAGATTGGGTGCTTTTCTGAAAACTATATTTTTTCACATGCAAATTACTGATCTTTATTCAGATACGGTACTGACCACAGAACACAGTTTTACAAGTCTAACTGGATGATACATTGATTGTTTCCAGCTCTAACATGCCATGAACATCTGTACCTGATAATAATTTACAGCTCCTGAAAAGATTATTTTTAAACACATTATCAATTACTTCCTGGTTTTATGTGCATAAAACCATCTTTTCTCTGTCACCTATCTTTTGCATTCCACTTTTCACTTTTCTTCTTGAAGGTCAGTTACTAACAGCTGGGAAGATTCATGTATCTTTCAATCATCAGCTAAAAAAAAAAATTCTTAAAGAAAATACCCTTTCCTTTATCTCTTCAACCTTCTTTAATTTTGACAAACAGCATTTTTCAAGAAATCAAAAATAAAGAAAAAAAAGGTGAAAAGCGAGAGATAAATCTCAATGCAGCCGTTAATACTCTTTTTGCCAGGTAAGTGGTATAGTTAGAGTTCAGGTGTATGCACGTTCTTAGTGCACTTAGAAATTATTGGAAGAAAGTGAGAGCAGATAGAGGAAGCCTGAATGTTCCATGCATATGGATTGGCTAGCCAGATGCTATTTACCCCAAGTTCTTACAGTGTGAGGAACTGCTGAATCAGCAGTTGACACCTCCGCCACCACCGCCCAATAAAACTGAATGGATACTAAAAGTCTGGAAAGCAAACAAGCAGTCCATGCAGTCGTTGAAGGAGAGACAAATGACACTGCAGCAGCAAAAAATTTGGAAAAATGTTCTTACCTGATGTAAGCAGGGCAGAAGTCTTGCTGCTGGCATCTCCACCAATACACAGTAGCGAGTACTTATAGAAGACTGCAACGAGGAAGCAAAGAATAGTGTCTTTAGTAGCACACCTGGATTTTCCTTCTCAGTCACTTCTGGAAAGATGTAGTCTTTTAGCATACACAATGTGCTTGGACAAAAACTTCCATAGCTTAACCACGTAGTGATCTTTTATTTGGAACTTGGTGCCTGCTAATTTAATTCTCCATGTTACTCAGCCTTTAGAGCTCTCTATCATATCTTCCCTTGTATATTTTTTTTCCTCCCAGTTTTAGTCTGTTTTAGTTGTCACTTAAACAAGACCAATACTTAATGAATTTTTGTATATAGAATAGAACTTGTATGTGTGCATGAATATTGCCTTGTATCTTCATGTTTTTTTCCGTTAGGCCATATCAGCACGGAGCAGACATGTTGGCTGCAATTTGCCAGGTATTAAATGAATGCACAAAACCTGATCAAGCTTCACCGGCTGCCATAGTGTTACAGGGTCTTCACGCACTTTGTGAGGCTGAGGTAAGATTAAACTGGCTTGTCCTTGTGTTTTGCGTTTTGCGTTTTGCTTGTGGATCGTGGACTTTTTTCCTAGTTGGGGTTTTTTTTTAAGAGTACGTTGGATTGTTGCAGCATTATTTTTTTTCCTGACAAGTTTAATGCCTCTCTTCCAAGAATTGTTCCTGGGAAATTGTACTGTGAAATTCTACTACAGCAGGTCAGCCCTTCAGTGCATGGATTGGAATTTTAGGTCAGCTTTACAGTTTGTTTCAAAGACATCTTTTCGTGGATTTTTCCTTGAGATTTGGAAAGAACAGCTGTTTGGCACATAATTCTGATTGGCTGAAAAGTAGGTGAATAATCTCTTTTTTGATACCTACTTACTGGCCTGCCCTGCTGGGTCTCATTCACATAGTGAACCCAATAGGGAGTGAAATCACTTGTAATGGGAAGCCTTCTGTTTCACTCTAATGCATTGATTACTTACTGATGAATAGGACAAGTAAGCATTGGAACATGCTGCCCAGAGAGGTTGTGCTGTCTCCATCCTTGGAAGTTTCATGTTCCTTTTGGATACAACCCTGAGCAACTTGGTCTGATCTCATAGTGACCCCGCTTTTAGCAGGAGGTTGGACTAGAATTATCCTGAGATCCCTTCCAACCCAAATTGTCCTGTGATCCTATGATATCCCTGAGTTAGGAGCAAAGGCTCTTTGTTTCCACAGTGACATCCCAGACATGGTGATGCAAGCACAGACATGCTGTGAATCACACTATAGTCAAACTGTGGACTATGCAGGCCATCTGAGTTTGTGGACTAATGATAGCCTGCATGAATATTGGATTACCCATTCTCTGCCAAACATCAATTTTAAGTTTATCTCCTTCTTTGTTTTTAGTGCAGTGTTTACTGCAGTGAGGCCAATCCAACAAAATCAAGGCATTGCCACATGATATGTTTGCAGTCATGTCAGCAGTTCAAGAACAATATAGGAAATGGTTAGCAGTCCATACACATTAGTAATCAATATAGTTAAAAAGCTTCAGAGGATGGCTGTTAAGAACCAAGTTATTCAGGGTAATTACTGTGTTTGCTTTTGGTACGGAGTTTGGCTCTTCTTCAGGTCATATAGATTCTTTGAATGCTGGCCTCAGTATTTAAGCAGTGTTTTCCCAGGCTGGATTATATTTAGACTTTGTTTCCTGCAAAGAAGCAGGAGCTGGGTCTGTGACAAATGTCACTTCGTACTATAAAAACCTCATTTGAGAATAGACGTACTGTACTACTGTTGAGAAGTAGAAGGCTGAGACAACTCCAGGTACTCAGGATGGAAGGAAGGAAGGAAGGAAAGAATCACTTTATGGACAGGTATTGATTTTATCTGTCCTAATTCTTACAGGCCCTCCTCAGCTTGCTTT